AAGGAGAGGGAAATCGCTTGCCGTTCCGTCGTGTGAGGGGGAAAGAGAAAGCAACCGCTTGACCTTCCGTTGTGCGTGGGAGGTTGAAATTTGTGGCGTGGTTTGCATTGCATTGCATTCGCCATTGCGTGTGGGTGTTTGTGGGCGGCTGCATTGTGTTGTTTGCTTCCGCCTCCTCTGCATTCATACCCCCTTCGAGGCTATTCTCCTTTGCTTCGCGCGCAGAGCAGGAAGGGAGAGAGAAAGAGAGAGAGAGAGAGAAAGGAACAACAAAAAACATAATGAGGAACAAAACAACCGTTTGTCCTTCCGTGGTGCGTGGGGTGTTGAATTGCGTGGCGTGTTTTGCACTGCATTGCGTTGCATTGCAGTTTTGGTTGCGTGCCGGTGGTTCATGGGTGTTTATGGGCGATTCCCTTGCATTGCGCGGCGTGCTTGCGCGGCTTGCTTGTGATTTCGAGGACCATGCTCGGGGTGGCGCTGTTTGCGAAGAAGATGGCAACAGATGGCGAAGAGTAAGAGAGAGCGAAGAGGCGAGAGTAAGAGAGAACCCAAGAACCGAAGAACGGAAGCGAAGAAGAAACGGAGAGCGTTTCGACGAAAAGGAAAACCATGGGAAAAATACTCGAACTGTAAGGTCTCACTGGTGTGAAATCATGTGAAAACGACGAGGGGCTCCACAATCCCCTGGCCTCTCCTTCTCCCGCTCCTCGTCCTCCTCCCAGAGAGGACGGGGAAAGACAAGGTGGCGAGTGGCCGTGTGGTGGGGGGTGGAGAAGAAGGAAGAGAGATCATGTGCCACCGGGCCCTCCTTAAGGTCGTCTGAGCCCGGCTGCCGCTGTAGATGCGCGCGGTGCCATCGTAGGATACCGCCGCAAATGCAGCGCTCGGCAGTACCTCCGAGGAGGTGGGGGAGAAGACTCGAGTGTAAGATGAGTGGCGTGGGCATGACGATGCCAACAATCATAATTACAGTAGCAGTGGTAGCGCTGATCGCAAAACTCGTCACGACTGGAGTTAGCACAAATAATAGCAGGTGCCAGAGAAGAAATAGCATCAGCCGTGAGCTGGCATTAAACAGCAGCTGTTGTAGGAGGCATAACATTAGTAAGCAATTATGTGGCGGTGGCAGTAGCAAGAAGCTGTGAAGCCCAAGTGGTAGCTCCTGTGACAGGCTATTGAACAGACATTCGATGCCCATAGCAGCGGACCTGTTGCTTCTCGCAGCAGCCGAGAAGCATTGGAAGTGCCAGCCGCTGTATGCCATTGCTACTGAGAACAAGATGTCGATAGACTACATGAGCGATTGCCCGCCACCAAGCTCTAACCACTGAGTGGAATGCTCCCCGGGTCCCCTCGTCTTCCATGTTGACTGCTTCGAACCACGCGCGCGCGCTTCGCGCGCTTGTGTCCTAGCCCAAAGCACCTGTCTCATGCTCATCCGATGCCTGCACTACATCTCGCGACCCCGCTCATTACGTAGTATTCCTGGCCTCCCTCCGTCCTTCTGGTCCTCTTGCCCCCGCCTCGACATGCTTCGCCTTTTGTCTTCCATGGTGTCTGATCCTGCTCCCTTTCCAGCCCCTTGTTCGCGCGCGCTTCGCAGGCATGGAAGTCATGGGTAGCTTCCTTGAAATGGAGTGCTGCGCCGAGGTATGTACGTCTCACTCCTTCACCTCGTCGTCCCCATCTTCCTCCTGCATACCATTCACATCCCCCGCGTCCTCTTGACTGTTCTCACTCCTCATCAGATTCGCCGCATTCCCCCTCCCCCCTCTTCATCTTCGTTCTCCCTCCATCTCCCTGCCACGCAGTGCAATGCTGATATTCAGGCAAGGACAAGTGGAAAAGAGGGGACTGTCGTGGGGATTTGGAGGGAACCAAAGGTACGCAGCTCGCTCGCAGGAGAGGGTGGGAGAAGGAGGAGGAGGCGGCGGCGGCGGCGGAGGAGAAGGAGAAGGAGGGAGAAGAAGACGAGTAGGAGGAGGAGGACGACGACGAGGAGGACAAGGGAAGGAGTTTGAGGATAGGGAGTTTGCGCAGGTGTGGGTGGGGGGACGTTTGACACCGCGTGAGGGCCTCAAGGCAGCTCCAGCCAGGACGGCAACGGCACTCCAGATCGAGGTCGGTGACCTCGCGAGACTTGCTGGGGGTCCCAGTGAGCCACCGAGCGGAGAGGACCAACATCGGGCGCCAATAGTCCCAAAAATGTTGACGCTCCTTTTCAGGGGCGGCCAAAAGGGGGGCGTCAAAGAGGGGGGGGGGGGCGCAAATCATGGCCAGCGGCATGTGCGCGGCCCAGCGGGGGGCCAGGGACGTAATGAGGTAAGAAGAGGCGCCATGAAATCTGAGGAAATATCATGCCCCCCGCCATGATATCCACCCCCCCCTAGTCATCACCCCCCTCTTTGCCGCCCCCGGCTGGTTAAAGTGCTCAACTGATTAACCGGGAGGCCCGCTGGAGGCCCGCTGGAGGCCCGCTGGAGGCCCGCTATTTTGCGAGGCCCGTTGGAGCCCACGGCAGGTGATCGACCTCCAGGTCCCTTTCCGCAGTTCCTGGAGGGCTCTCCAGAAACATTCTGGATGGGCCCTTCTCCGATGTTCCCAGGGGCCTCTCTGGGAACAGCCACGAGATTGTCCAACATTGCGGCAAGATTCCACACGGGCCAGCCTTAACCTGCGCGTGACCCCGCCCGTCCAACAGAAACATCTGGCGGATTGTCAAAGTGACACCACTGCGCTGTCATTAAACTTTTTGGTGAGCCCTCTTGCAGCACCCCTGGGCCTCTCAAAGCGGCCCTGGAGGGCTCCAGGCGCCCCAACAGTGCCCCAACAGTGTCCCGAGAAGTCCCAGAGACGGACCAAAATGAGGTTCTGCGAAAAAACGCACAACTTGACGTTGGGTTCTCTTGGGGGTTCTCTTGTGACCCCGTCTGGGGGCCTTCTTGGGTCGTATTGGGTTTCAGAACCCCGAAAAAGCGAGAACGCCCAAATCGTTCAAAGCAGGTGATCGATGTATGTGTATATATAAATATAAATGAACAGATCTATGTATGTGTGAGTGTGCTTGTCTCTGGAGGTCCTCTTGATGGTCCCCTTGGAGCCGTCATGGGGCGTAATGGGCTGTCTTCGAGGCGTCTCGGGCGATACTGCACCGTCTTAAGTAGTTATTGGCCGTCTCGGGGGTATCGTGGCGGCGCCTTGCTGCCGTCCACGGTCGTCTTCGCCCACGACTTCCTCAAAGGGCCGAAAAGGAGCCCTGTACCCGGGGGCTGAACTCGGCTCGCGAAGGGGGAGGGGGGAGCTTTGAAGGAGAGGGCCGCCTCTGGGCCATGTGGCCCCGTCGCCGCTCGTTTCCTGCACTCCGCTGCTCTTGATGCTTGCCGGCGTGGACCCCAAGCAGTGAGATGTTGCTATGTGGCCATGTACACGTCGCTCATTTCTAATCGTGCTCATTTGTAATTGTGCTCGTTTCTAATTGTTCCTCGCCCCCTAGTGGCCAGGAAGAGGCCCAGGATAGAACAAATTGGAAATGAAAGGATCTTGGCCCCCCAAAACCAAAGAACTTTCGAATACTTAGGCATAAACAGTGTGTAGGCTATGGGATGTGGTTATGAGGTTGAGATCTGTGGTGAAAGCTGTGAGGTGTAGGCTATGTGGCGCAATCGATGGGGATGACTGCATGTGGTATGAGCTATTTTGTTTCAGCTACATTGCGCAATCCACCAAGATGTATTATATATATATATATATATACTAGAACCACGCGCGCTTCGCGCGCGCTCAGGTTCTAGCCGCGCCTCAGGAACCTGTACCGCAAGTTGCCCATGAGGTAGCGGCGATTCTAGAGATCCCTCGGGGACGGTAGTGGGAACTGCGGCAATTCACCTCTGTGATCTCGGCGACGTGTCGGGGAGTCCTCTGGCTCATTCGACGTCCTGCGCTCCCTGTGGATCCACCCGGGGAACGGAGGAGGAGGAGGAGGAGCTTAGCAACGAAGAGCTATGCCCGAGTCTGGCTCCAAAGGAGGAGGAGGAGGAGGAGGAGGAGGAGGAGGAGGAGGAGGAGGAGGAGGAGCTTAGCAACGAAGAGCTGTGCCCGAGCCTGGCTCCAGAGTGCACGCGGCCAAGGCCCCGCCACGGAGTATCGAAGGCCGCCCCCCTCCCCTCCTGGCCACGCATCCTCCTCCCTCCCCCCTCCTCCTCCTGCTTCCTCCTCCTCCTGCTTCCTCCTCCTCCTGCTTCCTCCTCCTCCTCCTCCTCCACCCCTGTTTCTTCCTCCTCCTCCTCCTTCTCCTCCTACTCCTCCTCCTCCCCCCTGGCGCACCCCGAGACGGGTCGGCGAGGCGCAACGAAGTCACAAAAACCCATCTGTGTCGCACCGGCAGGGCCTCTAATTCCGCGACCTCCATGGACGCCTTGGAGCCTCTCGGACGCCTGCTGGAGATGCGGAGCTGGGGGCCGTTTACATTCGTTTTTGAAGCCTTCTCGGGAGCAGCCTGGGCCATCTTGGAAGCACTGGGATCGTTTTGGGGGCCTCTTGGGCTGTCTTGGAGCCCTCTTGGGGCCGCGCCGGGGCCATCTTGGGCCCGTCTTGGCCGCTGTAGGGTCCTCTTGGACATCTTGGGCCTTTGTTAAGTTCGTTCGAGTGCCCTACCGGGGACATCTTGAGCCGCTTTGGAGGCCCTCTGCGGACCCTCTTGAGATGTCTTCGGCCCCTCTTGGGCCCTTGTAGGGCCCTTCTGGGCCGTCCAGGGGCGAGCTCGGAGGTCGGCCGCCTTGGGCGCACGGCTCTCAAAGCCCTGTCGACATCCTCCTTTTGCACTCCTGTCAGGGGCGGTCCTGAAGGTTTCTTGGGTCGGTTTGGGGGCATCGTCTGCCGTCATGGTGCCCTGGGGTTGCCGGGTCGTTGTGACGACACGCATTTGTCGGGGAGATGGCTGAACAGCCTTGGGGCATTCACTGTCTTTCTGATGAGATGTCGAGGCCGTAGTTCGCTGGTCATCGGGTGTCGTCACATTCTTTTAGCCCGCCTGGCCGAGCACGTGCGAGAGGGGCGAGAAATGACGGATAACAGGGCAAAAACTGCTTCGAAATAGAATACACGCGCTGCCACGCCAGCTGGCGGAGCACATGCAGAAGGAAGAAGAATGCTACGAACGGGAAATTGCCTTGATACATCATGCACGCGCTGTCACGCCAGGTGGCGAAGCACTTGCAGGAAAATCCAGGAAACAAGAAGGAAGAAGGGAACCCAGCCTTGAGATTGAATGCATGAGCTGTTACGCCAGCTGGCGGAGCACATGCAGAAACTACTCCTCGTCGTACCGGCAAGACCTCAAGTTCGATGACTTTGCAGTTATTGCTGAAGAGCTTTCGAGCCACCTCCAGCCGTCCTTCGGCATTCTTTGACCCTGTTGGACGGACGCATGCTAGAGATACAAAATTGGACGTCGTTGGGGGTCGTTTTGGAACCCTCGTGGGGGCTTGCATGGCCATCTTGGGGGTCTCGTGGGGCCGCTTTGGGGCGGTTTGGGGGCCTCTTGGGCTGTCTTCGGGCCCTCTTGGGGCCGTGCCGAAGCCGTCTTGGGCCTGTCTTGTGCCGTCTTGGAACCGCCTTGGGCGGTCGGAAGCCAGGAAGGGCAAACACACACACACACACACACACACACGCAAATTCTTCAAACACCTCTCTTTTATAACATTAAAAAATGCTTGTTTTTAGAATTCCTTTTAATTTTTTTAGAGCATCAGTGTGTTTGGCCTCATCTAGGCCGCTTTGGGGCGCCCCGGGTGCTCTCGTGCCCTGGGGACCTCTTGAGCCATACTGAGGCCATCCTCGGCGCTCTTGGTGCCCTTTTGGGGCCGTCTGCGGCTCATGCTGGCTCCTCTTAGGCGGCATTGGGGGTATCTCGGGCTGTCTTGGAGGCCTCTTGGGCCTTGGGCCGTCTGGAGGCCTCCTGGAGGCTCTGAGGAGGGGGCATCACAGAAGGGGGTTCTCGTCGTCGCCGCGGCTGGGCGCATCTCGAAGCGACGTTTTTCCCGAGGAGGTGCAAGACGAGGGCGGGGAAAGAGATGAGGAGGCAGAAGCACCAATAGCAGCCGGAGCAGCAGCTGGGCCGCCTTATTATTGGGCCGTCTCGAGCTCACACCCCCGTCCGCACTTCAGCATCTTGGTGTTGGGAACTCGTCACGTGATGACACACAAGAACCGGACGAAGATCTGTGCATTTCGCGCCTCCGGGCCTTCTTGAGTATCTTCTTGGGGGCTTCTGGGGGCACTTCACGCTCTGTCGTGCCATCCTGGGACCCATTTGGGGCGTCTTGGAAACCTTTGGCTGCCTTGGGGCCTTGTTTGGGCCTCTTGAAGGCTCTTGGGGTCCTCTTGGGCCTCTCTTGAAGCCCTTTTGGATCTTCTGGGCCTTCTTGGGGCCGTCTTGGAGAGCCCTTGGACCGCCTTGGGGCTTTCTCGGGCCGTCCTGGGGCCTTCTTTTGAAGCCGCTTGGACCGTCTTGGGTCGATTCCTGAAGCCTCGTAGGCTGTCTTGGCCAGTCGGAAGCATGAAGAAGCCAGAACATGGAATACCTTCCAGAACCAAACCTCCGAAAACGTAGATGTGTCGCCTCCTGAGGACCCCGTGGGACTCCCTTTGAATGCCTCTTGGCCGTCCTGAGGCCCTCTCGGGCTGTCTTGCAGCCATGTTGTGCAAGGCGGGGATTTATCCATATCCACCGCCCGGCAACCGACGTCCTGGTGCCCCAGCGGGCGGTGGATACGGATACACTTCGGCCCCCGGGGGCCCGAATATGTCCATATCCACCGCATGCCGAGGCTCCGAAAACTGACCCTCCAGGCGGTGGACATGGATAAATTCCCGCCTCGGATGTTGGGCCATCTTTGAACGCTCATGGGCGGTCCTGGACTCTCTTGGGGCGCCTTCGGGGCCGTCTCGGAGCTCTCTCGCAAGGCTCTTGGGCCATCTCGTCGCCCCCTCTTCCCCTCCTCTGGCGCGGTCTGGCGCGCCCCCCGACGGGTCCAAAGCGGCCGTGTGCAACATCGGTGCTCCCCAGGGCCCCTGAGACCCCATCCCCATACATATATATGTATATATATATATATATATATATATGCAAGACTGCATTGGCGCTTCGCGCCATGCACATTGGTCCGATCAGTGGACGGTGCAGGCAGACTGAGAGAGGTGAGCCGATCGAGACAGAACTCGTTTCTGGTGGCCGATGTCGCCATCACCGTGGTTACATTGTTCTTCTTGTTCCTTTCATTATGTTGGTCTTCGTCCATTTTCTCTTCCTCATTCTCGAGTGAATTGGCACACGAAGGCTTGCTCGTCATCTTCTGATTCGTTCGCGGAAGCTCCTTCATGGCGAATCTCTGGAGAGCTTCGCGGAAGCATTGTTAGGACTCCTTGGGAGCCTCTGGAGGCGGCCGTGGCGCCTTTCGGCGACCAATGGGGAGGTCCTCGAGCCACCATACCGGGAGTCGTGGTTCCAGATCACGTGTTGCATTATTAGGGCCGTGGTGAGGCCGCCCGTGGGCAGTTTTGGGACCGTCGTGGGCCCTCATGGGGCCCTCTTGGGCTGTCAGGAAGCCCGTCTGGCTTGTCTTGGAACGGTTTTCTGTGTGTTTTCAATGATCTCGGACGCTTGGAAGCCTGAATGAGCGAGGATCCGAACATTAAAAAAAACATTGAAACATCACTGTTTCTCCAAGTTCCGAGCGCCTCTTCCAGGTAACACTCGGGCCGTCTTCGGGCGTCCAGCGGGGGTCTGGGCCGCTTGATGCCATCTTCGATCGCTTTGGGAGTCTCTTGGGCCTTGCGCTGGTTGCTCCGCACTCATTGTGGGCCAGTCGTGGGGTTGCCCGTGGGCGGTTAGGCGGCCGTCCTGGGCCCTCGTGTGACCGTGTTGGGGTGACAGGACGCGCGTTTGGCTCGTCTTGGAGCGCCTTCCGGTACCTTTCCAGCGTTCTCGGACGCTTGGAGGCCCGAGGGAGCGGGTACCCCAACATGAAACGAAAAACAATGCAACATCAATATATTTTTAGGGTCGAACGCCTCGTGGGGGTGACATTCGAGCCGTCTTCGGGCGTCTGGCGGGAGTCAACGGCAACGTGAACTCATCTTCGACCGCCTTGAGGGTCTCATGGGCCTTACGCCGACCGTCTTGGGACTGCCACCCGCCTGTGTGCACGCCTTGGCAGGGATTGCTAGACCGCTCCTTGGTGCCAGGAAGGGCGTCTGGCCAGCCCGAAAAGTCCCAAACTCGTTCGGCGGGGGGGGGGGCGGGGTGGTGGGCCTTTTCCGGGATCCCTGGCCGTATAAAAAATATAAGGACGGGAATATCGATTCTAAGCCGCTTGAAGCGAAAAATTATTCTGCCCCAGCGCCTTACTTTGCTTGCTCTCTATTTTTGTTCTCCTTCTCTGGGCTCTCTACTTGTTTCTCCTTCTCTGTCTTTCATGGTCCCAAGAAGACCCCTGAGGTTCCCAAGAGGGCCCCAAGAGGCGCCCAAGGGGCGCCAAGAAAGCCCCCAAGAGGCTTCCAAAGACTCCCAAGCGGTCTCAAAGAGGCCCTCAAGAGGCCTCACCCCCTCCAGAGGCAGCCAAGACGCTTTAAGATGCTCCCGGGACTGCCAAGAGACGCCCAAGACGCCCCAAGAGGCCTCCAAGAAGCGACCAAGAGGAGCCCCAAAGGGCCCCAAGAGGCGATTTTGACGGTCCCAGACGAGGAGGCTAAAATCCCACTCGCCCTTTAGGTCGTGAGTGGCTTTGATCCCCCCCCTCTTCCAACCCCCTCCTTCCTCTTCGGTACCCCCTCCCTCTGGACCTGGACACGTTCTTTCGCGAGCGGTCAGAGCGTCCAAGATGGCCCAAGATGGCTCCAAGAAGGCCCCAAATAGCAAAAGATGGCCTCGAAGATCGCTGAAAATGGCCCAACATGACCAAAGATAGCTTGCAACAGACCTCCAAGAGGCTTCAATATCCCTCCAAGACGGCTCTAAGTGGCCAAAGGGCCTGCCCAGGACGCCCTGGAGAGGCCAACAACCGTTCAACACCTAAACACCTAACAGAAATCAATGTTTTTGTTTGCCTTCTCGACTCTTCGCTTCCAATGGGCTTCTGAAGCCTCGAGATGGCTGCGGGATGGACCCAGGGATCCCCAAGAGGGGTCCAAGAGAGGCCCAAGATGGCCCCAAGAGCGCCCAAGACCGCCCCAAGAGCGTCCCAAGAGAGCTCCAAGAGGCGATTCTGAGAGTTCCGACGGGGGAATCCAACTTGAGGCCGCCTTCTTTGTTGGTCGATGGCTTCCAAGATGGCCCAAGAGAGGCCCAAGAGTGGCCCACGATGGCTTCAAGATGGCTTCAAGAGCGCCCCGAGAGACCTCCAAGAGGCCGAAACCCTCCTAAAACCTTGATCCGCCGGCCCAACGAGCCAGAAGCGTGCTGAAATCTGCGGTGCCGGGTAAACGATATTTCTAGTTCGCGCGCGCGGGCCAGCCCCTGGAAGTCCCGCGACGATGAGTACAAGAGGGGGCCAAGGCGGGGAACCCGAACGGACATTTCGAGCCTTCGGTCCCAAGAGGCGCCCAGGAGGCTCCAAGAAGCCCGCAAGGGACCCCCAAGAGGCTCCAAGAGGCCCCCAAAAGGCCGTAAGAGAAACCCAGAAGGCTCCTAAGAGGCCCTCGGTAGGCCCCAAAGAGGCGGCAAAATGGCCCAACCGCCAGCGATGGCACAATACGGGCTGGCGGAATGCGCGAAGCGATTCAATCAAATCAGTAGTGATGTTTGCTTTCTCGCCTTTTCGCTTCCGATGGGCTCTCGGGGGCTCAAGATGGCCCCAAGATGACCGAACCAAAAAGCCCAAGAGGGGCCCAAAAGGGCCCCAAGACGGGTCCAAGAGCGCCCCAAGCGGGGCCCAAGAGGGGCCCAAGAAGCGATTTGGGATGCCCTGACGTGGGGGCGGAGAAAAGTACCTTCCCTTCTTTCATCGATTACCTCGAAGATGGCCCCAATATGGCCCAAGAGAGGCCCAAGAGGTGCCCAAGAAGGCTCCAAGACGGCCCCAAGGGCGCTCCAGGAAGGCCCAAGAGCGCTCCAAGAACGCGCCAAGAGGGCCCGAAAGGCTTCATTTTAAGGCCCAAAGAAGCTTCCAAGAGGCTCCCACAGCCAAATGCGTCGTCGTCGTTGTCGCCATCGTCGTCGTCGTCGTTGTCGCCGTCGCTGTCGTCCGTTCTGGATGCT